TGCGGGCCAATCATGTCCGCACATCTTACATTTCATGTCATTTTGGTCCGCAGTAGTCAACTTTCCTCGCATCGCGTTCGGTGACCTGGACAACATCTCATTCCATGGAAGTGTTGCTCTCTCTTTTGTTTATTATGCTTTGCAACGCTGTGGCTACTTGTGAAGCCGCTAAAGTGCCGTTGCCTTTTGTGACTGCAGCACATGCAGCAAGCCGGTCCACCATCGACTCGCGAAATTGTCGAACAGTTCTTTCGTTCACCGTTGTAGTTTTGATAACTTCCAGTACGTCCTTGACCGTCAGATCCTTTGCCGCGGTTCTTCCAAGAAATTGTATTACGGTGGTAGCGATACAACACACATAAACACCACAGTCCGTGTGATTGTTCTGTTACGGGCATTCCGCATGCACAAGTTTACTTCTTGCCAGATCCCTGCATGTCACCCACGAAAAATGAACATTTTCGGGTGTAAAAGCCTGCAAATTCGATGCCTCGTGAAGGTACTCGTGCCACAAAAGTGTTCGCAACGCCGTCCATTCGTCTCAGTTTTTTTCTCTCGTTGAGTCAACGACGATAGCAATGGGAGGGTCGGATATGCGGCTGTCCGCAGTGACCTCCAAGAAGGACCTCGCATTCAGCAACAGAAGAAGAATCCAGTGTTTGTTACGGTTCACTGGTATCACAGTGACCGACGAGCGTCGCAGTTCGTTGCACAGTCGATGCAATTTCTGTGGTCTCTTCTTAATTGCGTCCTCCCATCCTTTTTTCGTCAATTTCCCAAATTTTTGATTGGCGACGACCTCGGGGTGCCAGAAAGTTATGCAGACGTGAACATAAGACCTGTCATGGCCCCGCCGAACCTCTTCATACACAGACTGCAAATAAATGTCAATAATATTGTCGTTCAGCCATCCGTCGTCCGACAACCGTTCAATGTCGGATTTTGATACGGGTATGGCGTGTTGCGGAGATTTCCATGTAAAAGGGAACAATTCGACCACGTCAGTGATGTCGGTCTGCTCATCTCTCGCTCTTGTCTTGTCCCCTGCTTTCCGTTTTCCCATACGACAGGAAGACTGTTCCCCGCAGGACTGGGGCCACTCTGCTGCACCCTCAGTCAGTAAATCGTACATTTCCGCGCACCATGGGTCTGATAACATGTCCTGCCAGCTCTGTGCTGACCTCTGGCTGCTCGATGGCAACAACGGTTTTCCCTCCCTGGCACCATTACTCGTTTCGGTGTGCTGGTATGGCCCCTTCGCAGCGGCCGACCAATTACTACTGTTGTGCGACTCTGCCATCGTTGATCCCCTTCTCTTACCTGCACCCTGTTACTCTGTGTTCCGTGTCGCTTCTCCCCCTTCGCCCCCTCCCCGCTTTGCGGCGTCGCAACTTTGTGTTCATAATCACACACGTAGGGAGAGGCAGAAGACACAGAGGATTAGTTATGTTTTTTAGCAACGGCAAATGGTTTTTGTCGAGATGCTATAATTTGTTTTTTTTTATTTGTTTATTTTTCCTTTGCAGATAGGTGGGGACGAGAGAGTTTGTGCCAGAGAGAGAGAGAGAGAGAGAGAGAGAGAGGAAGAGAGAGAGGTTGGCTACTGCGTGCCAAAACTGAATCAAATGTGACTGTTGACGACGTGAATGTCACGCAGTAGTCAACTTTTGGGGACACTTTCGTTTCGCATGAGGTTTTGGTTCTCCTTCGTAGGTATGTCAGCGTTAGACATCATAGTTGTTTACAACTACTAGAAAGATTTACTTCAGCCGAGAACGGCATTACCATCTTGTCGCGAGAAGAAATAGACAGACTTACAGATTTTCTCGTAATTGAAATGAGTCTCTCTCTCTCTCTCTCTCTCTCTCTCTCTCTCTCTCTCTCTCTCTCTCTCTCTCTC